ACTTCATTTGACCTATTAAAATGAGGTATGTTTATTTTTAACTTTGTCACAGTTTTACACTATAAACAAAGCTCCTAGCTCTGACAGCACAAGAGGGGAAGATAGGGGATTTAAAGGACTTCAAACAAGGCAAGATTGTTGGTGTGCGGCAGGACTATCGGGGTATGTCCAAAACTGCTGATCTATTAAAATTGAACGTTAAATGAAGACAAAAAAAATTTGAGAATAGAGAAGCTTGGTTGATGTCAGATAAAAAGGCAATGTAGAACCTACCTTGGATGATCTGAGAAAAAAAAAAAAAAATTGAACATTTAAAATCTCAAACCGTGCCTTTGATTTGACTTTGTTTATAGAAGAATAATCTGTTCAAGGATTCATTAGTCTGCATGTTTTTTTTCCAAACATTTTTAACATTAGAGATTACCAGACAGAGTCCAATTCCATTCAACCCTCCAATTAGATACCAGCTTCAGCATCATTCAATAGTCTCAACATATGTTCATATTTTGTAAAGTTTACCCTGTCTGACAAACTGACCAGATATGCAGACAAGCAACCAGTCAATCTTGTTTTGACTGACAGGCATCTAGTGTGTTAGGATACAGCCCTGAGCTCTGCACCCTGTTCCATTATAAATATATATATAAAGAACTGATTATGAAGATGGTGTATTTCTTTCTTTCTTTCTTTCTTTCACAGTAACACAGTTCTATAGTTGACTAATTAGCATAGATTTTTTGTGCGTTTTATTTTGTTGATTTCATCTCACTGTGTATGCAGCAGTAGCCAATGATATTGAGCCCCCTTTCATTCGGCAGGCTTTCTGAAGGTCTCCCTGTTCTTTACTTCTTTTTTCTACTCCTTTTCAGTCTAGTCCATTTACCTGACCGCTTTCAGACTGATGCATGTTTTATTTGGTAAGCCACTTAACTTTGAACTATGAATCATTCAAACATAAAAAAACACCTACATCAAAGGATGAGCTGTTTTATCCACACAAGCCTGACACCTTAGCAATGAAGCAATTTTAAGTTGTATCTTTAGGCTTTTTGTTTCTAGGAGCTTGCCAGCTGAATCTACAAATAATGCCGAAGATAACACAGTTTGACAGGCCAAAAATAGCTTTTTTTGCACCAGTAAGGTGGTTCACAAAGAGCTATTAGCTAAACACTTGGTTTACTCAAGCACACATATGCACTTGCTGTCCAGTCCAACATACTTAAACACGCTGACACACTTTCACATATGCACGCATTAAAAGTGACAGTCAACAAACGTTCAATTTATCATCATTGTCACAAGTCAGATGCTGGCAGCAGCTCTAGTATCTGACTAAGGCCCATATTGGCCCAGGAGAGAGAGATAAGCTGTTTGTTTCTGCTGTCAATGCTGCCAATTTAGTTTCCCATCACTTCAAATTCAAATCAACAGTAGCGCAGAGGGGATCTGAGAGAATGTGTGTCTGAGACGAGAGGAAGAGATGAGGGGGAGAGAGAAGAGCAGGAAGGGCAAGAGAGCAAGAAGAAAAATGAAGAAGAGAACAGCGGAGAGGAAAAGCAGAAGAGCATGGGATGCTTGGGAAGAGAGGGGGAGAGCAGATAAGATCACCTAGCTTCTGTGAACACCATCCTCCTGTGTCCTACACTCACTTCTTATCTCAACTGCTGCAGACACCCTAAAGGGACACACACCCACAGAGAGAGAGAGAGAGAT